TATCCGATACGTGGTGGTGGTGCGGCGTGGAGAGGAGTGTGGTGCCGCGGCGCGGTGCCCGTCGCGGCGCGAGGGCTGGAAACTGGCGCTCTGTTGAGTTTGCGGCATGCGCGCGGCGCGGTGTGTGCGTGACTCTGGCCTGGGGGTGGTGACTTCGTGCACGTCTTCACGTCTTGGGCCCGTTTGAACTCATTTAAACACGGAATTGCATCCCGTCTTTTTCTGCTTGTTCTCAACGAACTCGTACCTAGTTATTCTTGCACGGTCAATGTTACTTTCGACCTACACACCATAAACAAAGAAAAACCGAAAAAAATATACGGAAAACACACAGAAAACCAAAATAGAGCAGAACACGCAATAAACTACAAAAACGAACCGAAAACCATCTAAACGACCTAATATGGGGGGAAAGGAAAAGAAAAATAACCACGAAAAACGCAACAAAAATGGGACAAACACTACCTTTCCAAATCTCATAAGAAGTGTACGCAATAGACATGGTTGATGATGTAACATATGGTGTTGACTACTCCAACCCACCACCTAATGACAAAAACTATTCCAATTAATGAGATATATGCCTTTTGAATCACAAAAACTATCAAAGCCAATATTTCAAGTTATTTCACATGGTCACTCCTAATGACAACGATCCCAACCTTTTTTTCTCATTCTCAAGTTTTAAGTCAAGTTTTTGAAAAGATTCAAGTGCATCAGATTTTTCCCTTATGAAATCAACCCAAGTGTACCTAGAGAAACCATCTACACATCCAAGAGTATATTTCTTATATTTCAACCTGAATTGGACACATCATATCCATGTGAATCAAGTCCAATATTTGACTTGTGTTCACCTCAACTATTTTCTTATGTAAAGCTTTCTTTTGTTCGCCCATTTGGCATGAACCGCGCACACAATATTCTTTTTGCCTCTTAAGTTTCATAAACCACGAACAATACTTGTATTTGACAAATCAACTAAGTGAGCATAATTGATATGACAAGGTTTTTAATGCCACAATGTCTACAGCAGACTTGTCACACTTTAACTCGAGTCCAACCAAATACAATAATCAATTAATTTGAAGGAATATGAGGACAATCAAAACTTGAAGAACATTTTCGGAATAATCACAAAGGATGGAAATTTGAAGATATCTTTTGTTATGATTTTCTTCTACTCTTAGAGAACATATTCTGAAAATCACATGAATCAAAAAACAAGGCCATAAAAAACAGATCGAAACACCTCAAGGTACACTCATACTTCATAGCAGCAGTTCTCAACCGACTGGAAAAAGAAAAAAAAAAAAAATGTCAATTGCTGCGGACAAAATATGGGTGTTCCCCATGCCCGAGGTGCTGCACTTCAATGGTATTTTCGTCAAGCCACTCAATAGTCAACCGACAGGTATCTTATCGGGCGGTGAAAAGGTCGGATACATACTTTGCGAAAACGTTCATCAAGATCATTCTACAAGTTGAAAATGATAAATAAGAAAAAAGATCAATTTACAAGTCATTTTGTCGTCACTTGATCAAGCACATATACATATAAGTATAATTGTTGCCAGATTTATAACAAGAATAGCATATTGTTTACCTTTTCACATATCTGCTCATAAACATCATTCTTGTATTTAGCTTTCAGCACATCTTTGAAACCCTGAATGTTCCATTGGAAGTAATGATATCCACTGACTTATTAAGATTCATTATTTTCAAAGTAGCCATAGAAGAAATATTGAGAAATACAGAGGCAATAAAGAAATCTATACCTGCGCAGTACAAGGATGAGCGACATCAGCTATAATTACCTCTGCCTGTCGCAGTTCCACGCCTGCTTTCTTGATCTCTTCAATCAACTTGAGATAATAACTTTCATCACTCCAATACCCCAGTATAGTTGCCAAGACAAACCTTTAAAAAAAAATAAGACATAAATAAGTAACTACACTTGGTGGTGCTTCAAACCACAAAGTAACATAATTTGATCCAATAATATGTAATTAGTATTATGTAAATGAATAGTTATTGATCAATAAATCCAATTCACAGTGGTAAGTACCAAATTATAACCTCATATCAAAAAAGTCTTGTTTCTCTGCCAAAATGAATCCAAACAAGGCATCCCTCTTCAGATATTCCATTCGTACTTGGTCATTTTCGTCCAATGCGAACGTGTTAATGTATGCTAACAGCATAGGATCATATCACAAACCTCAATAGCCATAAATCTCACAAACCTTTATTTAGTGAGCTCCACATGTTTCCTACTTACTTTAATTTATATATCAATTTAATTCATATTTACTAAAAATATTACTCATATTTAAAAATTTAAATATTGTATTCACAAAGAATTAATAAAAGAAAACATGAAAATATGTAACAAAGGGATTAAGAAAAATATAAACATTATATTTTGTATTTGAAGGAAAAAATGAGAATATGTACACTGGAAAAACAATGAAATTAGATAAGAAAAAAGTAAAAAAAAAAATAACAAAAAAAAAAACATGTTTGATAGGTGTGGGGTCAAAAAGTGAGGTTTATTCTAGTGTTGAATGTTCAACACCTCTATTTTGTTTCGGATTTTAATGGCATTAGCCGGGCAAGTGTACAACGAAATACAATAATCAATTAGTTTGAAGAAATATGAGCACAAATGCACAATCAAGATTTGAAGAACATTTTCCGAATAATCACAAAGGATTGAAATTTGAAGATAAGTTTTGTTATGTTTTTCTTCTACTCTTAGAGAACCTATTCTGAAAAATCAAAAGAATCAAATACCAGTTCTCCTTTTTATTTAAAGTCCAAAAACAAGGCCATAAAAAACAGATCGAAACAACTCAAGGTGCCGTCACACTTCAAAGCAGCAGTTCTCAACCGACTGGAAAAAGAAAAGAAAAAAAAAAATGTCAATTGCTGCGGACAAAATATGGGTGTTTCCCATGCCCGAGGTGCTGCACTTCGAATGTATTTTCGTCAAGCCACTCAATCCACAGGTATCTTATCGGGCGGTGAAAAGGTCGGATACATACTTTGCGAAAACGTTCATCAAGATCATTCTACAAGTTGAAAATGATAAATAAGAAAAAAGATTAATTTACAAGTCATTTTGTCGTCACTTGATCAAGCACATACAGATGTACGTATAATTGTTGCCAGATTTATAACAAGAATAGCATCTCGCTTACCTTTTCACATATCTTCTCATAAACATCATTCTTGTATTTAGCTTTCAGCACATCTCTGAAACCCTGAATGTTCCATTGGAAGTAATGATATACACTCACTTGTTAACATTCGATATTTTCAAAGTAGCCATAGATGGAATATTGAGAAAAATAGAGGCAACAAAGAAATCTATACCTGCGCAGTACAAGGATGAGCGACATCAGATATAATTACCTCTGCCTGCCGTAGTTCCACGCCTGCTTTCTTGATCTCTTCAATCAACTTGAGATAATAACTTTCATCACTCCAATACCCCAGTATAGTTGCCAAGACAAACCTTTAAAAAAGAAAAGAAAAAAAAAAGATAAATAAATAATTAATTACACTTGTTGGTGCTTCAAACCACAACGTAACATAATTTGATCCAATAATATGTAATTAGTATTATGTAAATGAATAGTTACTGATCAATAAATCCAATTCACAGTGGTAAGTACCAAATTATAACCTCATATCAAAAAAGTCTTGTTTCTCTGCCACAAAGAATCCAAACAAGGCATCCCTCTTCAGATATTCCATTCGTACTTGGTCAGTTTCTTCCAATGCGAACGTGTTAATGTATGCTAACAGCATAGGATCCTACAAAATTATTATGAGAATAAGGATCGTATATCTACTTGTTTGGAATGAGCATATTTGTCCCTCATGCGAAAACAGATTCTACAGAATACCTCCACATGTGTGTCAACAAAAGCCTTTATAAACTCGGGACTTCCAAACAACTTTCTCACTTGTGCACCAAGAGTTGCTACCACTTGCTCACCATCCTTACCATCTTTACCAGCAAGCTTAAGGGAGTGGAAAATATCTACCACGAGTTGACTAACATGTGGCTGCTTATCTAGTATGCTAGCCATATCCGTCACAGCATCTAACTGCAAAAAAGAGAAGAAAAATAAGAGAGGCAAAAGAAACACAGGGTATTTCAAAATATAAAGGAATCTCCATGTGGGCAGCATCTCACTAACCAACCAACCACCCAAACCATGTATGCAAGCTAATAAAATATATAAAAACAAATAAATTAAAACAATAAAATAATTTCAACAAAATTACCTTACAGAAAACTTGAATGACAGTGTTGACCATCATAGCCACCTCCTCGGCATAGCTGAGAACAGGAGCTAAAGGTATCTCTACCTGAAAATTTCAATCAAATGTTTCCCACATACTTTCTAAAAAATGTTTCCGTTACGAAATTTGATTGCAACCACATACTTTCTGCCTATTTACTTTCACAGTCCACATTTTAAAATTCTCATTATGAATCTACAAAAGGATGAACATTAAACAAGTGCTCAAATAAATATCTACCTAAAACTAATCAACAAGACATAATTGATCAAACTGCCAACCATGCACATATAGTAAGTAATATACATCAATATAGATATATAAAATATGGTCAACGCATCTACGTAATCACCCCCAAATCAAAAGGAGTATTGCCAAAACAGACCTGCATTTCTGAATCACCTCCTATATCAGCAGTGTCATTTTCCTCGCCACGCATCACCATAGGTTCACAACTCAAGAGCTCATTTGAGATATTTAAGGAACTCCTAAAAGAGTAAAACAAAAACTTAAGAGCATAACAGAAGGATAAATGGAACACTTCACGCCAAATCATAGGAAAATTCATCTCAACAACAAGTACTTTAGCATGATCACAGCGAATGTGTAACTGCAAAAAAAAAAAA